CGGTGGCGGGCCCGGCGCGGCTGGTGAGGGGCGCGCAGAAGGACGAGCTCTACCGGAGCGGGCTGCGGTCCGCGGCCGGCACCGCGCTGCACGGGGCCGCGGGTAACCTCCGGGGGCTCCATCCCGAGCCCTACCCAGGGGCCGCGCCGGGCGGGATCCGAGCTGCTCCTCACGGCTCGGGGGGCGGGAAGTTCCCGGAGGAGAGCTTGGATCGGCACGAACTGTGGCGACGTAACCGATGATCCCGTCCCGTAGGTGCCCGGCAGTGGCTGCAGTGGAGGAAGGAGGTGGAGCTGCTCTCTGATGTAGCCTACTTCGTGCTCACCACGCTGTCAGGTAACGCGTGTGTTTAGCGTTTCTCCTCAGTGCTAAACGCGCTGTCTGTTGGGACCAGCAGCGGGAACTACGCTGCCGGCAGGGGTTCTCTTAAAGGGGGGGGTGTTTGGATTGCTTTCGTACAAATGCCTTTAGTAAAGAGGACGCCACACAGCTGCTGCCGGAACTTGGAGATCGAATGCAGCAGTTACCAACCCAGATAGATGTTCTTGTCAATAAGGATGTCCTTTAAAAGCAAAAGTCTGTTCTAAAAAGGGATGCAGGACACTATGAAAAAGCACCCCTGCTTTAAGCCTAAACCCACTGCAGACAGGGCTGCTGCAGATGCTGAGGTAAGCACAGTGCTCACCTCATTGGGCGCTTCAGAAACCCCAAACCCCGATGGTTCTGACCTGAGCAGCCTGTCTCCACTGCAGTTGCCATCTTAACCCTGCATGTTCTCTGTTGCAAACACTATTCAGGTTACCAGACGCTGGGTGAAGAGTATGTTAACATTGTTCAAGTTGACTCAACCAAGAAAAGGGTACCTGCCTTTCTTCGACGGGCTGTCTTTGTTGCTCTTCATACAGTAGTACCTTACTGCTTAGAAAAGGGATTACAGCACCTGGAACACGAGCTGCAGACAGAAGCTGATGTGTCCAGCACCTCACAGAGCAACCCAGCACTTGGCTTATCCAGTAGGTCCTTAATACGAAGCTGGATACAAAGACAAGTTGGGGAGCTTACAGAGCAGCAGAAGAAGAGAGTCCTGCAGATCGTGTATGTTCTTAAACAAAGCATTCCTTTGCTTCATCGACTGCATCTGGCAGTGTTCTACATAAGTGGCACTTTTTATCACCTGTCTAAAAGAATCGCAGGGATTACATATGTAAGTATTTCTTGTTTGAAGACAGCATCCACTGCAGTATTTTGGTCTCTTCTGGGATGCTGTGTGTGCAAAAATGATACAGGATTTGGCTGCAGTTGATTGCAATAGTGGTGAGAGGGTATTTTTAATACCATGTAGAGGGGCTGTGAGTTCCTGCAGCCAAAAGGTTATGGCTAGTAAACGTGAGTGCAGTCAGAACTTAACACCTTGTGTAACTTCAGAACACCAGCCCATTGTGTCTCCTACGAATCCAAAGAAAGTGAGAAGTCACATTAGTAACTCCATGGGACATGACAATCCCAAATCATGGTTATTGATGGGGTGTGCATCCGTGTGTGTGTTCATAATTTCATCAAATCGCAGTAACAAAACATTTCTATTTCTGTGAATTATGTAGCTGCATTTTGGAGGAACGCAAGGAGAAGATGAGAGCATTCGATCAAGTTACAAGTTTCTTGGAATCATTTCACTCTTCCATCTTCTTCTAACAATTGGTGTTCAGATGTACAGCTTCAAACAAAAGCAGAGAGCAAGGCAGGAATGGAAACTACACCGCAACCTAGCTCATCAGAAGTATGATGGTGTTCACTTACTAAGGAAGAGGTGGATGCAAGGGTGGGAAATGTAGCAGCTTTCCTGAACAGGGAGCTACTGTCACTCCATAACCGGAGTGACAGCTTTGGCTAGGTTAGAACCTGATAAAACATTTGAATTCCTCACTGTTTTTGCTTTCATGTTTTCTGAGATCGTCACAAAAAAGGGTTAATACTTGAAGAAAGGGTTTACTTTAGGATTGTGCTATTAAATATTTCTTACAAGCAGGCTAAACAGAAGTAACATATAACTATGTTAACTAGAAATATGACCAATGAGAGGACTCCTGGGCGCCACTCCCGCTGCACACTGTGTTTGGAAGAACGGAGACATACAACAGCCACTCCTTGTGGCCACCTCTTCTGCTGGGAATGCATCACGGAGTGGTGTAACACCAGAGTAAGTACCGAGGGACAACTGGAGGCTGGAAGGGGTAAACGTGATGAAATTTCTCCTTGAACATGCCCGTCAGCCTTGGTGTTGAAGTAACACCCTTTGCCTCACTAAGGCACCCAAAATCCCATGAGTCTGCCAGGGCCTATAGATTTTGTTAGAGCAGAATGACTACATTACATAGAAGAGGTAAATAAGGTGAGCAGTTTTCTGTCCCAGCCACTGAAACACAATCAAACTACTGTGGAAGCTAGCCATGGAGGCGATTTCTCCATCTACAGACCTGGAGATCATTCTGATTTCCAGTAAAAAGGCCTGAGTTACAACCAAACTGAGCTAGCTCTTATGCATGGTATTTTAAACTTGGATTTTGCTCTGGATTAATGAAGTACAACAGTTTTCATCCATTAATGATTTTACAGACACTGTGGAATAAGACATAAGACACGTATTTTTTTCCCTAAACTTTTAAACAGAACAATTCAGAATGTCTCAATTTTTCTTCTTGCAGACAGAATGTCCACTGTGCAGAGAGAAGTTTCATCCTCAGAAACTGATCTACCTACGTCACTATCAACTCTAAAGGAAATAATCTGCTGTTTGATGACAACGGCCTCAGCTCTCATACCCTTTATAAAGTTGTCATATGGTTTGAGTTAGTCTAAGACTTTGTTAAAACTGGTAACTGCCTGTGCAAAGCGGCACTCCATCCCTGCTGTACAGAATAAATGTATTTCTGCCTCTACCTCTGCATTTCTTCTAACGTGGTTCTTGACTGTATTAAAAATACATCTCTCTAAAAAGTGCATACCACAAACGTAAAAGTTTTCTTCACTTTGGACAATGAAAAATTTCAATCAGATTCTCATTCTCTAAAGTGTAGATAATGGGTCTTCCAACCTTTCATAGCATGCCTAAGGTATTAGTAAAGTTCTATGATTTGTAAGAAAGACTCCCTTTCTCCTGTAATATGATTCCATGCTGTGGGCTTCCAGGGAAAAGGACAAGAGCTGGACAGATCCAAGTGTTGTTTCAGAAAAGCCCTAGTATGTACACTAAACTCAACTATAAAATGTTAAATTTGTAACACAGCTTAAGTTTGGCTGTGTGGTGTTTCCTATAGCCTAACATGGGAAGGAAGCCGATTTCAGCCACGAGACACCCTCTGCTCTTTATGGCAGTAAGGGCAATTTAGCTAAGCCAGTGTTTCAGAGTATAAAGGAAGAAGGATTTGGCAGCACCACCTCAAGGTTTATTCCCATAAGTTAATTCAGTTTTACAAGTATCTGAGCAGCAGGGAAAAAGACGATTGTTAGTTAACATCCTGTCATTCCTGCACAACAGATAATGTGCAAGATTGATTTATTTGTATGCTTTAAATACAGATGGGGAGAAAACACCAGATGACCCACGCTGTGGATTGTGAGTTACAGTTTCAGTAAATCTTTCACAAATGGCACTGAATGTGAACTTAAGGTAGCAGGGGGAAGTGTGCTGCAGTAAAAGCACTTCTTTTAAGATGGTTATTTGTACTGCAGATATCTTGCTCAGCTACTTAACCATTAAATCTCCAAGTGTTATCACAAAAACACCCCCAAATTACTTTAACTTTTCATCATAACTATAAATGAAATAAAAAAGTTGCTGGTATCTATGCAAACACTTCTTCATTACTGTAAAAACGTGATCTTCAGAGCTGCAACAGCATCCCTTTTGTACACCAGAAAACTTTCAGGCATCCTTTGCCAACCAAAACCATCAAGGCAACAGTGGAGAGAAATGCTCCATATCACAAATCAAAACATGACTATAAGGAAACCACTGCCTCATCTCTTTACTAAGAGAACAGTAAGAACACACATTCAGTTGCACTGTAAACAACATAGGAAACAATCGATGACTGGGAAGCATCTGTGAAGTTGTCAAGCCAAGTTTTTTGTGTATTCCATAAGGGTAATTTATTTTTAGCACTTGCAAGTGATAAAAATAGAGCAAAGTTTAACAAAATGCCATCTAGCTTGTGGGGCCCTTGCATGCTGAGTCAGCCAGGGAACTATGCCCTTGTCCCAGCACCGCCTACAACCCCTATTTGAAATGTGTAAATCCCACTGAATGCAGAGCACCTTCACCCACCTGAGAAGGAGCAGGTGTTTATCTCAAACAGCCACTAACGTTCAAAACCAAATGGAGGTAAAAATGTCTGATTTGCAATGGATGACATTGACTGAACATAGGAGGAGTCATCCCAGTTGCTGATACTGATCAACATAATACACATATTTTTCTCCCCAGTTTGGCCATATTATTCAGGAACTCCAGCAAACCTTAGACAGCGTCTCCAGCTTGGGGCTTTCAGATTTTTAGGCAACAAGCTCCAAGCACCCATGACGGGGACTTCTTAAGGCCCTTTCTGGTAATGTGTTTCCAAAATTTCAAGTTTTACCATTACTGGTTTCCACACTGCTAATAAACACATGAAAACCAAAGAAAAAGCAACAGGTCAGTGTGAACTAAAACTGCCTGTCACTACCCAGGATTACTGAACACTGAATTCCAGAGCTCCATAACAAATACATTCAACAAAAATCAGATGAAAGGGTTCCTACATGTATTTTCCACTTTGGTGTCTGTTGAAGTTGCCACTGTTCTCCATGCAGAATCTTCAGAGCTAATCTTTTTCTGCTTTCTGCCACTGAATACTCCCTGAAGAGTTGAAAAAGGCATTTCATGAAGATAAATTAAGGGTAACGATTATTGAGAAGGAGCCATACTGTCAGGTCAATATATGTATATAAAGATAGAGAACAAGTAAAGGGGGACACTGTCTTTTAATAAATTCTGGAATTAAAAATTCACTTAATAAAACTGCAGCTGTATCACATGAAAAAGTTTACATGCAGGTCATTTATCACGGATTCTTTTTTTTCCCATAGAAAATGAAAAGCTGTGTTAAAACCCACACCATTTATCTGCTATGGCCAGTTTGGGTATATTCTGAAGGGGCTGCATGAAGTCAGCTTAAATTAATCAAGAAATCCTTAAGTATGAAAGAAACTCCAACTAGTAACAATTAAAATATATATTCTTATAATTCCAGGTCCTCAAAGTAAGTTGTGATTTTGAACAAAGTTTGAGTCATTATGAAAGAGCCCAATTTTAGCATCTATGAGGAGATGTCATGGTGAAACTGGCATTAAAACCCAACACAAACGAGTTACTTGAGAAGCTATGAGTATCTTTTCCCTACTGCAAACTCTGTAATTTTGTAGATTTCTTATTCCTATCTATATTTGTTTGGTTATAACTCTGTAATACCATGCATTTAGGAAACTGGCTTAAGTTCTGCATCTATTTAGGTCTGCTGAATTTGTCTATGAAAATAGCACACGGCCATGAAGCAGAAAACAGCATCACGTGTGCCATCGTACATTTTTCCTCCAGATACGTGCACAGCACTTCAGGGTGATATTGAGCAGGAGAACTATGTAAAAATACACAACTCTAAGCCATTAATTGCTCCAGTGCAATGGATCTTGAAAGGAATACATTATCCCAAATCTATGGGATTATCCAAGATTTCTCCAACTGCTTACAAAAGATAACAAACTCAATGCAATTTGGTTAGAATGCCAGTTTCTTCAAGAAACTGATATTTCAGGTAAAAATAGCACAATCCTTTAAAACAAAAATTTAACTGTTTTGTCACCACTCTGTTAATATTTTTTTATGAAGAAAAAAGGCATTGTTACAATGGCTCAAAATCGTTCCTTTAGTTAGGAGTAGAACTGGTCAACAGGTTGATTGCATCTTCTAGCTAGCAAAGGTCTTTCCAACGTCATCTTTCCCTTTGTATTTCCTCTTGCCATGTGTGAAGGGTATATATCTGTACTTTATCATGTGCTGTAAAGAGAAAAGAACAATCTTTTAGGCAAGAAACTTACATAATGTTTACAAAAATGTTTTATACTACACATTGTAAACTACAAAGCCCTCTAGAAAGACAGTTCTTCAGCATTGTAAAGGTAAAGAAATACCTAACTGTACATCACTTTACATTGAAACAGGGGCATGAGCCCAGTCTTTTAAACCTCAAACTTTGGTATACCCAACAATTTTACAGTCGAGTGAAGATTCCTGTGATTCCCCTAATGAGTAAACTAGATAAAGCACAGAGGTATTAACTCTTTATGAGCCTTTAATCTTCAATGCATAACTTTGAAGAACAGTACCCAGCCAAAATTCTGAGTGTCTGGGAAAGAAATTGGTTCTTTTTAAAATGCCAACAAACCGTAAGTAATTTGTTAAAACTGGTGTGAATGACTTGCCTGTATTCTTCTTCCCCTTCTTTTCACCTACCCTCTCGCACCTACTTGTCAGAACTTCCCTTTTCACCCATCAGAGATCCTACAAGACCTCTTCATTAAAAACAGCCACAGCTAACTGAAGAAAGGAAGTGGGCGAGAAACTAAGACTCCTCATGCATAAAAAGCAGATACTGAATTCTATGACTGTAACCTTCTGAAAGCAAGCATAAGATTTTGTGAGGTGGTGCATGAAGGCTTTTTCTACAAAGCATTTTTATTTCCCATTGTCAATATCTGCTCAAAGTTGCAAATATTCAACACCTGAACTAATGTTCAACTGTAAGTTCCTCTAGTAAAAGAAGCACGTATAGTACAACTTATACATCTAACATGCTCAACTGCATGGACAGTTTGGAACAATACTGTAAATTCTGACATGACAAACGCTACTCTGTTTTCAGAAAGTTACCTTGATTTGCCTCTTCATAGTGATACAAAAAAGCATAATGAAGTACATCACAAGGATTGGCCAAAAAACAGGAACGTTGAAAGCCTCAAAGAACGTACATGCCATAGCAACCAGGATTCCTTTAGTGGCAGAGTGCCTTAAAAATAATATTAACAATTAATCCTTCAACCCCAGTTACCACTGATTTGATGCAGGTATTTCTATTTTTTAGAAGCAGAGCATGGACAGATCCACTCACCAGAATTTAAACTCTGGGAGCCTTCTAATGAAAGGCCGAAATTCTTCATTTTGCCTTGTAGGTAAAGAAGGACCATCATCTGAAAAAAACAGAACGGAAACAAACCACAAAAACCCCCTCATACTCATTTTCCACACTCCTCAGACTCTAGATTTTCTTTACTTTTCATCTTAAAAAAAAGGAAAGAAAAATTTTCACTGTTACACACAGATTCCAGTTACAGTGACTGTTTTAATGTAACTTAACACTGGTTTCCCCAAAGAAAATAGGTAACAGAAAGGCGCACCAGGTCACTTGAGTTACTACAGGGAAAACTTAAGTCACATAAACCTTTCTTCAAGACATAGAAGGCCAACACAGTACGGAATATGTTCAAGTCCTGAAAATAATAAAGACATTTTATCATAACTCCTGATGTCAAGCTGTATAGATACTTTGCAAGTCCAAAAAACAATGTAATGATTCTAGTGTAATGCACATCTTTACTGTATCAGGCAAAAGGATCTGGAAGTTTGACTAAGTACAAAATTACAGCAAAATTAACTGAACTATTTATCATACCTGAATCTTCCATTAAAGAGGGGTCTACCTTTGGCGACAAGAAAGCTATGAAGAGATTTAGGTGGTAGATTCCCAAGGCATATGTCACAATGTACCAACCCTGAAGCAGAGAGGAAAAAAGAGTGTCTTTCTGAAAACCATTTTCAGGTACTGATTTTTCAACAATATTAAACAATCTGTTTTTTTGCTTCCTTGAGAGGTGCTTTTCTACATCCACACATTAGCACAAAAACTTTTCTGGACTTTTAAATAAAAATACTAGAAATTCTCACTGTACAAAATAAGCATTCTGACTCTATGAAAAGATCGACTCACCTTCATGAATCTATTTCTTTTGGTTTTGCACTGACAGAAACTTATGTAACATTTTTCACTTAAAACTACCTAAATGACAGCTGAACTTAACATAATATAAATAAGCAAGATTTAAACAAACAAATATCCATTTCTGTTGCCATCAGATGCATATCGTCAAGCGTTCACACATTCTCCATTCTGAAGCAGGAAGCTTAACACCAACGAGATGTGTTTTTTCTTCAGACTAATTTACTCCTACTGTTTGCTGAATGACACAATATGTAATTCTGGAGTAATACCATGCCTCAGAAACCCTTAATAAAAAATAGAACAGTAATATCTAAATCTATTTCAGCAGTAAATCCAGTTTTCTTACCTGCAGTAAATAAACTCTAATCATGTAGATAAAACTCAGACCCAAAGTTACAATCCATCGCACTGCAGTATATGGAGTAGATTTGTCTAACCAGGATTGGTAGATCTAGGAAGAAATATAAAGTGTACATCTGTAAAATACCTGATGCACAGTGAATAAAGTTTACTACAGGGTAGCAATTAGAAATAGTAAGCAATTGTGAGGAGTATTTTGCGAAGGAGAGTAACATGAAACACTTGTACTCTTCAAGTAAACTGAATCACACAAACATACAAGCACTGGAAGAGTTCTGTATTTTTACACACACAAAAAAAATTACTCATGCTGGGGGCATCATACAGCAATTTATTTTTTCAATATTTAATGCAAGTTTACTTTCCCTAAGATTAATCTGACATGAAAACTGAAGTCATCACTCTTTAGTTTTGACAACATGTATTTTCGCTGTGCAATATCACACTTAAGTCCATTAATTATTTCATTAAGCTAGGTATTATAATATTTATCTATTTTTAAAAGGCTTCAAAATAAGTATTTCATACAGATGTTAGTGTTTGAACAACTCATCCAAAAAGTAATGATGTTTACTTAAGAAGCTGCATTGAGATCTGCTTCTAATGGATTCAGAAAAGCCCTACAGAAAACCAACCTGTCCGAGTCTTGAGAAAAATCTATAGACCACAGAAGGCTTTCCATGCACAGACTCACCAATACTGTCCCCTTCTGACATGGTTGCTGTGGAAACAAAACATGACACATAGATAACATTTAAAACAAAAAAAATCTAAGCTCAGCAAAGCTTTACAGTACATTATCTGAACAGCATTTACATGTGATATTCTTTTGGATTGCCCTTTCTGAAACAAATTATTTTTAAGGAAGTGTTCTTAAAGAGAGGTAATTTTTTCCAAAAGAAACTAATATCCAAAAGAAACTGGCAAGAGAGCAAAGAAAAGGGTATTTTAGAAAGGGAAAACAGGATCCAGTCCATTTTAGGAAGGAGGGGAAAAAAGTCCATGCAGAACTGCAGGAATGAGCCTTGTTAGACATCTTCACCTTGAGCAGGCAGGAGCCGACTTACAACATGTAAGCACTGAGATATGAACTGCAGCACCACCCTCCTGTCTCCTCAGTTTCTAAAGGCAAAGAACAAAACCAAAATAAATACTTTTTAAAAAGCTGCTCAGGATCTTTAAATACTGACTAGATAGTGAAGAAGTTCAGGACTCTGTACACCAGTGGCTACAGATAAAAAGGTCTACCACAAGCACCTATACCAAAACCCTGCCCACTGCTAGAATTATTCAATGAGTTTCTCCCTCTCGAACATTAAGAGCTCAGCAGTGACAGAAAAGCTGCACACTAGCAAAGCTGTGTAAGGGCCAGGATTCTGATCTTGGGATAAAAAATGAACCAAGGAAATTCTTTTTTAGTACATACTTCTGCTACCTATTTCAGAGCTTTATTTTCCTTCTCAAGTTAAGCTCAACCAAGTTTTACAGCTCCCTTCAAGATAGAAAACAAACAAAATAAAACAGATTCTAAGCAGAAACATTTTTGCCACATCACCAAAAGCAATCCCTGACATTACTTCCTGGAGTCTTCATCTGTGGGTGGGACTACATAACTCTAGGATAGTGGGAGGTCTTTCAGCCCTCTGTCAATATCTCAAGGGCCTCAAATGATAATAAAGATCTACCAAACTTTACTAAACCAGAAAACTGTAAATTATCTTAGATTCTGCCATACAGTGACTGCTGCAAAAAATAATTACAGGCCAAGGCCAATGTGGAGAGGCACAGAACCTGGAAGCTGTGCACTTCCTCTGTAAATGTCTATTAAGCTACATCCTATGGAATAATTAGTAAGTAGAAAAAAAGGAGTCCTGTTACACTTCAGAAGATAAAGGGATTCATTATGAGGCTTCAGGAGCTGCAGTCCCTTTTAATTCAAATTAAAGCCAAAAGAAAAAAAAATTAAATACAAACTCATACAATAGAGATAGACTTTTTCAATACAGGCAAAAGGAAATAATTCTTATTCTTCCCCTTCACTGCACTGCAGGAGACAGAAGTTACTCAGCATTATCAGCTGAGCATGATTTTGAGCCCCCCCCCCCCCGCTTTTTTTTTAAATGTCCTGAAGTATATAAGCCATATCAAAAAGATAATCCATCTATTGAGCAGAGAGCAATTCTCTAAAGATCACAAACACAAAACCTCCCGTATCCTCAACATTAATTTCACAGATACATCCATAGCAAATCTGGGCTATAAGCAGACTAAATATTACAATCTTGTAACCATTAACCTCTGCAGAGCAAGTGAAGAATCGTGTATGTAAGGCTACTGATGGCTTTACAATGGAGCAGGCATTTTGCTTGGTGTAAAAATTACATTACATGCAACTACGTGCTATTGTTTATCATACACAGAGTTCTTCCACAGCAGACCAAGAAACACAACCAGCTAATACTGCCTGTTTTACTGAAAAGAAACCTCTCACTGGCCCCATTTAAGTAGCACAGACTGAACTATATCACCTGATAGTTCACAATTTTAGTTAGCATTTCTTCTCACGATAGAACTTTACTGAAAGAATATTTATAGTTAGATAATGACCAAGAAAAGCAGTCTTTGGCATTGCTTCGAAGGTAGTTTAGTCAAGAACACAGGCTCATTGGTTTAAGTGAATATTTAAATCTAACCAGTAGAAATCCCTCTTTCGTACGACTTTACCATTCAGCATAATGAATTACAATAATGGGTCAGCCATTCCAGTAAAGCAAACAATCAGAAAGATATACAAAGAATAATACAACAAATAATCGAATGGTTGGCTACCGGCACAATACAAACTGCTACCAAAACTAAACCACGTTAGAACATTCTTCTCTGCTAGAAAACACCAAGTAGGTGAATGTGTGACCTCCAACAATTAATCCTTTCAGCACAACCACTGTGGTAATACCACTACAAATAGCACTGCATCGCTGGGCTCTTAAATACTGAAGGACCTGGGGCAGTAAAGACAGTTTTTGCCTCGCATCATCACATACAGAGAGACACAGTTTTCAGACAACTCTCAGATCCCGAAACAGATTTTTCTTAAATTTGGTATATAAATGAAGCCCGTAACCAGCAAAACCACACTGCTGCTCATGCAAGTTTCCTTATCTCATAGAGAAGATATTGCTGAAGAGCAACACATTGAAGTGACTTCTTAACAATGGGATGAACAACCACAGAAAAACAACCCACTGACTGTGTCAACTGCTTTTAACCCTATAGCCCACGTTATTTAATTGTGGTCTGTCAGAATTAGGTCTGGCCTGTCAGGACTGTGCAACCAGCAGCAGCTGCACAGCACCCGTGCTCACAGCGCTTCCCTGAGGCCCACATACCCTGAGCACTCGTTAAACCCAACACAAGGCACTTTGGGAAGAGCCAGCGGACGGGCAGGCTGGCGCTGCTGCGGCACGGGCAGCAGAAGAGGAGGCCCTGAGGCAGAAGCGGGGCCCGCTGATGCGAGGAGGACGCGGGAGCGGAACAGGACGGGCAGCGCCTCGGCGAGAGCGAAACGGAGCCAGCGGCAGGCCCCGGGCAGCCGCCCCGCAGTGCCCGCAGCTGGGAGGAGCGCCTGGGCCGCAGATGCGGCACGGCCGAGCCCAAAGAAGCCCCCACGCTCGCGGGGGGACCCTCACGCAGACTGGCACTACCGCAGCCCGCCAGCCCGGAGGCCCCAGTCCCACCTTCCCGGCTGGGCCCACGGGCACAACGCGGGGCAGCGGCTACTCACAGGCGGGCGAGCCGCACTCCTCCTGCCGCTACCCCCTCCCGCTTCCTCAGAAGCCAATATGGCGGCACAGCGGGGAAATATCCCCTTCCGCCTCCGGGGTAAAGGGGCGGGCCAAAGGCGAGATATTGCTCCGCTATTGGCCCCGGCGAGGGAAGTGGGCGTTGCCGCGCTTAAAAGGATGGAGGAGGCGTGTATGAGCGCGGGCGGTGGGAGCAGTGCGGGCGGGAGGGCAGCCGCCGTGTTACCGGCGGAGACCCGTGCCCCGCGGCGGGCGGGATACAGTTACCGGGGGCTGAACGCGGGACCGGCGCGGTTGATACGCATCTTTAGCGTCCGCGCATCCGCGATGAACGCTCCGCCCCTCGCTCCCGCTCAGCCTATGAGAGCATGGAGGATGTTGCATGGGCGGTGCTTGCGCGAGGCGGGCAGTGCCGGCGGAGGCGGACCTGGGCGCTGAGGTAAAGAGCGGGGCTCGGGCTCCGCGCCCCGCGCCGGCCCCGCCTCAGCCCGGCCCCGCCTCAGCCCGGCCCCTCGCTGCAGCGGCGGGGCGGGTCCCGTGTGACCGCGGCACAAGAGACGCGAGGCCCGCGCCGCTCGGTTTAGGCTGGTGTAAACGCAGTCGCTCTTCCTGTGCTCCTAACGCTGTAGCTCGTGGCTGTTTCTGTGTTATCTGTCGGTGACGCTGCAATGACCTGCAGGTATTTAAGAGCCTGGGTTCCCATTGCAGTGTAAAGTGAATTTAAATAGCAAACAAAGAACTAAATTTCTCTTCACAGTCGTTGACGCTGAAGTTGTAGAATGGGTATCCCCGAGGCGAATTAGCGCTTTAACTTCAGTATTACTTGTTACTCAGAATTCAGTATAGTATTTCTGAGCTGTTGGAATAATTTGGGTTGTGTTCTCTTACCGCGCTGGGCAGGGTGGGTGCAGGAGCCTCAGGTGGGTCTTGTCAGAGGAATTGAGGCCTTTTGGCTGAGCCCAGGGATTTATGCCGACCCGAGGAGCATAAATCAATTGAGTCTGCAACAATCCTTTTAGTTTCACCTTTTCTTTTGAAAAATGGTGTCATTGGTAGTTGTTAATCCTTTTGTATGCTGTAAGACGGAACCAGAAGGCAAAAGGATCCCCTTTTTATATGTACGTGATCATTACCTGTGAAACTAACACAGCTGTGGAGCTCACAACTGAAAATCACATCCTTGACTTCAAGTTTTAGTGACTATGATTCTGTCCTCTTCTATTAGAGCCAATAAGGAAAAACCTGATTTAATGGATTCAGCATTTCTGCCTTGTATATACTTCGTAAATCCCTTCAGTTGGGGTCAGTGTTTAGACGCTGAGGTAGTGAGAGAACTCTAAAACGTGAAGGTGCCAACAATGCATAGACATAAATTTAGTCATATAAGCGAGAAAAACATGAGAATGTCTCAACTTTCTCCTTGAGCATGAAACGGGTGGACATTTCTCTGTTAATAGGAAGCATTGTTTTATTTTCTAGGTCAGGACAGAGTGTTCATCAAAGGTGGAGGTTACTGTGAGGGCAAGCGTGTCAATGGAGAAATTATGGGGAATGGATTTCAGTACTGGGCATCCACAGGTAAGTCTGTAACTACCAAAAAACCCAAACCTCGTCTCCTTAAAATTGGTAATATAAATACGTATCGCAAGCAGCCAAACTGATTTAGTCCAAGTTGTTGTACTTCCATGATGTTTATTGAAGAGTTCTGTTTTTCATATTTTCCATTGGCTCCTCAAGTTAGGCTGGGTTAACAGTCAGTCACTTCAGAAAGCTAATCAAATATGTCAGTGGTAGAAACAAGAAACATATATCATCAATTTTTGACACTAGTTTCCATCAAAAAGCTGTTCAGGTGACTAGAATTCAAGTACTACTTTTGTACATTCCTGAACCATAATAGGGCACACTAAAAATCTTTTTAATGCATCACTTTTGGTTTTACAGACCGGAAAGAATATGATTTGTTAGCTTCAAAATAAAGACTATGTTTGTACATTTGTAGTCTTCATAAGACAGCAGTAATAACAAAAAAGTATTTGTTAATTATAAACTTCTAGGCTTTTATAATTTCTTATATTTGTTTTAAGTACCATATCACTTATTGTTGAAAGTTAAATGTATTAAGAAATTCAAGGTCGTTTGACACATCTGTTTCTGTAGGTAACTTTCTTCTATATTTGTCACTTTGTGTGCACACAGTTTTGTGCCACTGGGTGTCTCTCTAGCATCTGTTTTGAGACTGATTCAGTAAGGTCCTCAGGCTTACATTTGTTCAGTAACTGGGCTGCTCTGCAGGGTTGTAAGCATTTAGTACTATATTTAAGTTTACACTGTGTATGCGCTCAGAAGCGACAAGATACTCTGCCTTGCCTTTGCCCCCCCCCCCTCCCGGATAAAATCCTGGCGCTACTGATGACTGTCTTGTTGACTGATTATTTATATCATGTAGAAAACGTGATATAAAAGGCAGCCACTTAGTGCACGTGTTCACTCTGCATATGATGCTTTCAAATTATGTAACAACATAAAACAATGAAAGCATAAGAGTAATTTTCTTCAGGCAAAAAAATAGGTTAAAGTTTTTTTAGCTGGTTTTTTTTTTTTTGACCTGTTACCATACAGTTATGAAACAGCACCTTGGACATACTGAAGTAATCTGCTAGAGAAGAAAGAACATGGGCAAATATTTGAAGCTGCAAAGTATTCTAGATTTACTTCTATGTGATCTATGTGAATAGATTGAGTAATGGCAGGAATGTTGAATTTGTCTGGTTTTCCTCTTATGTTTTAACTGTAATAATGTCAGGGATAGATTTTTAGATCGATCTTTTGCAAGTGATAAATTTTTAGTAAGTGGATGTTGTCAGTTAATAGCATATTGAAGGCTGTGAACCTTCAGAGATTCAGATCGATTGAATGTCCAGTAAACAAGCAATAATTGTAACTATATCAGCAGAGGAGTCCAATAATGAGCAACAACTGTGATTTATCTACTGCTTAAACATAAAACTATTTTCACAATGGGTAGAAATGTTCTCAAGAGATGCCAAATAGAAACTGTAACTGCGGTGGCCTGTCTGGCTTTCGTGCATTTGTATGTGCACACATTTGAGAATGAAAGATGACAATGAGATGCTAATGAAGTAAATTGCTCATTTTCTTCATGAAAGTGTTTCCTTTCTATGATTTCTCGTTTCTGGCTGCTGCCTAGGTCCCAGTAAGCAGATGCTGTGCTCCATTCTGTCCCTGTTGCTGCTTCTTTGTGTGTTTTGGCTGTGTTTGGTTTGTCGTCTTTCCCAGAGGAAGGCCTGCTGTTAGATACACCTGTTAACCACACAGAACAGGTGGCAAGCCTTATGGGCTTCTTCACCTGCAGGCCTGTGTTCCCCCAAATCCATCTGAGTTACCTGTTTGGAAGTGCCACAGTTTCCGTTCTGATGCAAATTATTCCAATTACTTGAATTTCGATTGCTCAGAGCTATTCTGCGTACTAGTGGATAATATGAAATTGGAAGATACAGTAGGTCTTCCTGAATCTTGATTACATTCCAATATTAAAAAATCCAGCAAAATGCTATTCTCCTTATTATTTCTCCTTACTATTATCCTTATTATTTCCTTATTCAGGGATCAAAAGCAATTAAAAGTTATTGTCTTTTATTTATATTAAGCCAGTAAAACAATTTGAGTGTCAATAACTTTCTGAAATGTTGTATAGAATCTCTGAAGTTTGAGGGAGAAATAAAACTTCATATGTCTTTTTACATAAACTGGTTTATTTTCGAGACTGTAGTTCTTGGGATAAACATTGATTTTCCCAGGTTCTAAAACCAGGCCATATTGTGTGAACTATCTGAACATATTCAGCCAGATGAGTAGTCAGGATATACGTGAGTAACTTTTAAATACAGATCATAGAGCCATAGAATGGCTTGGATTGGAACGGACCTTAAGATCGTATAGCTCCAGCCCCCTCTAGACACATCCCACTAGACCAGTGTTTGTCTAAATTAGCATCCACTGAGGCTGTATGCTGTAATGCCAGAGATTTTAATAAAGGAAAACATGGTTCAGTCATTGTTTGAATCTGTAAAGTAATTTTGACATGATATTTAAGATCAGGCTCATGCAAATAAGTTTCACGAATGGTTGAAACCAAATAATGAAAATGACTGAAAGCGTAAATCAGAGCATGTAGAAATTGTTGAGTGTAGATAAGTTGAGTCTAGAGGCAGGCAAGCTTGAATTTGAAATAAACAGAATTAATTGCAATAAAAATTGTAGTAGCCAGTAAATTGAAACCTAGAAACATCATCATGTAACTGAGCTACATGTGAATTTACTACTGTTTAAGTTATTTTCTTAGAACTAGTTGTTGTGAAGTTATCTCCCATGATGAATAAATTCTTAACATCTCAGGTTTTTTAAACTCATTGAGTCATGATAACCTGTTTACACAGGCTGTTGCAGAAATGAATTAATATGATAATATGATCTTGTGAAATTACCACTGTTAGAGTACTAAATGTTCTTATTTATTACCTGAAACATTTAATTGTGGTTTAAATAAATCCCATATAAGCCCATTTACTTTAGAGTTTAGAAACAATCTACCACTGCAGCATGCAGTTACTGGAATAAATTCCTTATTACTGATTACTGGGATAGGAGGATATCTGTGTTGATACTTGGTTGGTGATAAACATCTTTGTCTTCACTGGTTACTATTCTTCATGAACTTTATTTCTGTTTTGGCCTCTATGGGTAGGTTGCAGTGTCGTGTGTTGTAGGTCTCTGAATCACAGAAAACACAGGGCCTTACTGAAACTCAAGGATTTAGTTTTGTTTAAAGCAGAATTCTGTGTTCTAGTTTAAAACCAAAACCAAGCACAAACAAGAGAACCCCCACAGCACAATACAGTCCATCACTGGAAGCTTGTAGCTTTTTCTTATCTGCTTCCTGCTCCCCTTTGTTTGTGTACTAACTGGTAGCTCTTTTTCTGGAGGCCCCTGTGTCACTCTGGTTGTTCACGCCTTTGTTCCTCTGCATAAATGTGTGATGTATAGATAGTGCTTATGTGGACGTCAGCATTTCCAAACCTTGCATGTGTTGCATTGCTAAGCAACTTTTAGCAACACTTATCTCTCATCCTTATGCCATCTGGAAAAGAGAATAAGACAAGGAAATGTGCCAGAGAAAGACAAAGGCACATCTAAGAAAGAGGTGGCTTAATTACTGAAGAGAATGAGTGACATTAATAGTAGGCAATCATCAGAATTGATTGAAAGCAAGTACAAAGCCTTTACAGGTAGTGATAAGGAACCACTGAGATAGGTTGCATATTTTATACTCCCTGGCCTTCTTCCTTCCCTAGAGGAAGCAGTACCCAGCCGAATCCTATTGCATATTTAAATGCAGTGGTGCAGGATGAAGGCCCCTGTGACTTCAGTACAAAATGTGGATACAATTCCAGTCACAGTGAGTTTTTTCTAGACCTGGTTGTTACATACATTCAGGAGGACAGCTAGGACAACTACTGACTACCCCTTCCATTGGGCAGAGAAGATTGTGAAAATACTTGTGGAGCTTGGATCTTGAGTACTACTAACAGTGCTGCTGTCATTGAGATGACTGCTGAGATAATGTTGTGCGCTTTGAAGTGATGGAAGGAATAGGCCAAAGCAAGTAGGATCAGAAGCATATTCCCAAATAACTGCTTTGTCTTTGCTTTTATCTTCTAGCTTACATCTGTAATTGCTACCCATCTGGAGTTTCAACTGGGTTCACACAGTTTAGCGTTACAGTAGTGCTTTATTTGGCCCCTCTGCTGTTATTACATGAAAAGCTAGATATCCAACTTAATAGAAGAATGATCACTTTAGATTTTGAATCTCTACTTCCTTATGTATTCTTAACATTGAAAGAATGTTGTCTGATGCTAAACAGGATTTAGTACCACGTAAAACAAGAGACATTTGTTACGGAGTTGTTTTACTTCCTATGCCTGGACTTTAGCCTGGACTTTGACCATTGTCGGATTATTTCCTTATCAGTTTCAACTCCAAACTCCTCCCAAGATATGGGAACAAACTCAGACTAATTTTCAGTGCCAGCTCTGTGCTTCAAGATGCATGCTACAGTATACAATACTATATGTTCTTTTCACATCTGACACTGAACCTGGTATTCCTGATTGTCTCCTTCCCTGTCCTGTCAGCAAATACCTGTGAAATATTTGACAAATTTTCCTATCCTTCCCTAGTATAGGACCACACAAAGGAATGTTTACTGTGCTGTTGGATAATGTTAGTGAAACTGTGGCTGTGAACTAATCTCAAGATTATACTGTGTTGAAAGGGTATACTAGAAAAACTGCGCGTTCACCATGACGTAACACTCCATTGCGTGCTTACATGTGCGAGTTTAACTTTGCTAGAAACTTTTAATTGGCTCATACCTAAGCTACTGTGGTATTTGGCTTTGCAGCCTCAGGAATTTTTAAACTTTTGTGTGACGGGTATGGCTTGGGTGAAATGCAGTCCAGATTTAAATAACCAAAGGTTTTTGGAATTGAGTTTGGTACACTATTTCACTTTTCACCATCTTTAAAAAGCAAAATAATGTGTGATCCTGTATGTGACAAAGCAGTTATTCATTCTTGCCATGTAATTTAATGCAATGTAATATATGAACTGAAGGACCTCACATAATAGTATCCCACAGTAACAAACCTTGGGCAAGAAATGTTTGATTCTCCCCCCTTTCCCCTTTAGAGGAGTACATAATCCTTGATGGTTGTGTGGTCTCCTATTCAACTTTTCACACAAGTGTTGGAAGGGTATTTATAAAAAGTCCTGAGGACCACCCACTCTGCTATTGAACATTGGCTGAAATAATCCCTTCTTTATAATTTAGCTGTGGTGTTGTCGAAATTTAAAATCCGTGTGTATTCCTGTTTAAAGGGGCAGTGGAGAAATGACGTATTCAATGAGTGGGGAGCTATAGTTAATTGTTCTGGTGACATCTGTGATGGACTGTGGATCAATGGCTCCCCTGTTGGTACGTACATTCATTATGCTCTCCAGTTATTAACAAGTCTTTGGCATAATGCTTTGGTTGCCCCTCTTTTGATTAATATGATCTGACTATAGTGTTTCGCATCCTCTGAGTACTCATTTCTCCTGGAATGCGTAGTTCTCTGGACAAGGGGATGACTATTTGACTGAGACCTTTCTTCAGGGAGGGAGCTGTTCTCTCAAATTAAACATGAAGGTAGACTGAGGTAACAAATATTCTTGCAATGGATTTTTATTCTTGCACAAGGGAGAGGTTTTTGGGTTTAATAATGCGGATTTTTAATTTTAAAGTAAAAGTATTTTGGAATTAGTAAATTGGAAGGGTAGCAAAAGAAACAAACTGTGTGTGTGCATGATGGGATGCATGTGTGTAAGACAGTAAGCCCAAATAGTTTAAATTATGTCATTGGAAATTGTAAAGAATTGCTCAGCAGGTTATAATTTCTTAAGCACAGAGCAGAAATGAATCCTGTCATAATGCAAAGATGTGGACTCAATAGCTTAATAGAAATATTTTCTAATCCAATTGATTTCTGCATGAGGGTACTGTTTACACAGGGTATAGTAGTTCCAACTGGAGTGTAGTTCATCAAGAGGTGCTCCTAAGTAGATTTTAGTATTGCCTCAATCAGATATGAATGTATTGCCACAAAAGTGATCCAAAAAACTTGAGATGCCGTACATATGCATGTACTCTTGGTGTCAAGCAGCAAAACACATGGAATGGAACTAAGATCTGTGCAACAGCCCATCCGAAGTATATTTGCATGTCATAACCTCTACTGTCAGATGTTAATAAGACTCTAAAAATGAAATATTTAATAAAAAAACCCAGAAGAATATAATTCACCTGATTGATTTCCATCTCTAATATTTGGCATACTTGTAACGCTAGGTCATCTTTTCTGAACCCAGAATGAAAATATTCTTTTTTAGAAGCACTTCCTCTAAAGGAATAAGTTATAGGTTTCGTAAGTCCCACAGTAAAAAGCTGCTTTAATCCAGTCAAAGTTGATAGTAATCAGAATTCATAGCTGTTTTCAAACCCTGTAAAATGTTGCAATGGTCTGTTTTGTGATTAGTTAGCAGATGTTAACTTTAACAGTCTTTTTTTTCTGGCACTGTAAGCTGAACAATAAGGAATTGAATAGGTCTTAAAGAAAACACTACACAATCATGCAAGTATTCTCTTCAGATTACTATAAGGATATATTTGAAGAGGGAAAATTTGTTCCACTCCTGTTCATTGGGTACTTAGAAGACTTAATTTTCCCTTTTCTCAGCAGTGCAATCATTTACATTCTGTATTAGGGAAGAGTGATATTCCTGTTTATCACCAAACCTTAATTGTTTTTTCAGTCTTTTTAAAATGCATTTTTGTGGAAGTCAAGGTTATTCTCAGGACTTCAGTTTAAAGTAAATGTCCAGAGAAGTATTTCAGGCAGAGTGATAGCTTGGCTTCTGTGACAAAACAGCTTTCCTTAAAAGGAGTGATCCCCTTCCTTCTAGCAGACAGGTTCACTTTAACATCATGATTGTCCAAGCCAAGTACGGATGATACTGTTTGCTCTTTGTGAGACATTCACCTCTACAAGGACTGTTGACCCTGAATGTCTTGGGCAGCATTTCAGCTACAGAGTTTTTGCTAGCTTTCTGTTGGAACTTTGCATCAAATTTATCTACTAAACCTCCTTCTCCTGTTCCCCAAAATCAAAGTGAGAATTTTACAGGTACTTAATGCCAGAACCTGCTGTCCTGAGTCTGTTCTTTAATAAGCAACATAAAGATAAAATTATGAGCAAAATTTTGCTCTTCCTATGGAGTCTGAGGTGTGAGAAGGAGGAGGGGGATGTAGGTTCACCCAGTCTCAAAGTAGATATTTCTCTTGCAGCCTGTGGAAGTTCTGGAGGAAACTGTGGTGGAGCAGATGTCTCTGTGAAGAGGACCACAGTGGAACAGATACTAACACTGCAGCCCATGAAGAAGGACCCCATGCCAGAGCAGGTGGATATTTCCTAAAGGAACTGCAGCCCATGGGACAGGTTCTACTGACAGGAGCTGTGGCTTGTGGAGGGCTGATGCTAGAGCATGGTTAAAATGTGAGGAGAAAGGAGCAGGAGAGAGGGGCTGTTATGGACTCGCACAACTTTGCCATTCCTCATATGCTTTGTTGTAGTTATCAGCCATTTACTTTATTTGATGCTGCTGGACAAAGTAGAGAGTTCTGATGCCTTTTTAAGAAGTACAGAGAGGCTTATACTCTTAACCTTTTCCAGGACTTGTAATGTTTTGGCACAGTAACAGTAAGAGATAGTTAATACATGATTGTGGTATACTAACTCCTTACTTCTTGTTCTTTTGATGATCAGCTATGAGCAGTTGTCATTTGGAGATCTGGGCTGGCACTGGAAACCACAAAGCCCCATCAAGTTCTGCTACCAACCTCTTTGAGTTGATTGAAGAAACTGAGAGGAAAACAGTTAACTTCTGTGTATGTAGTCTGGGGAAGAGTCAATTTCATTGTGTATTTCCCTTGATTAATATATGTATTCAGTAATCTAAAACCAGGTAGTTGGTTTGCCAACTTCATAAATTACAGCAAAGGTACAAGTGTTATAACCTAAACATAGTAGCAGATAACTTTTTCTAGATGCCAAGGTGTTTTTATGTTTGTCACATACACTTCTATAGTGTAATATTCAGCCTTTGAAGAGTGCAAGTTGTTTGCTGCCCTCCCCTGCCCCTAACTGGTGGCTTCTGACTATTCAAGGTAAGATCCTCTAATTGAGCAAATAATACACCATGCTCTGTCTTCAATCTGGGAACATAAAAATCATCCTTCTAAATACGGATTTGTGATTCTTTCATAATTGATTTCTGAAGTATTGATAAATCCACTCGAGTCTCTGGAAACTGCTGAATGTCAGTACTTCTAAAAGGCCAAGAACCTTTAAATCTCATTGAAGTTTGTTAACAAAATCTCACCCAGCAATTTGTTTCTCTGCATATTTTTATAGCAACAATTTTCTTTTTTTTTTTTCCTGTCAAGGATAATAGCTGATGTCAGAACTGTAAATATTCCACAGTAGTTATTTGAAGTACAGTACAGATGAAATTGAATCTACTGTGAAATTTTTCTTTGAAGCTGTGAAACTTGATTCTCTGTTTATTAGGGAAGTCACTGCTTTCAGTTTGTGCAGCATTTCAACAGAACTTGGAAAATAGAAGGGGTAACCTAAATGAATTATATAGCCTCATTTGTCATCTGTATCTCCAGTTTGACAAAATCTAATGAAGTTGTTGGAGAGGTAGTTCTTAATGTATGTCTTCTGCTGTATACCAAACTTTAAATTTATATACTGAGTACCTGGTGATTGTCATGGTGAATTTATTCTTGTATTTGCACTTAAGATTTAAAAACCTATCAGCATAAATAAACAAAAATGTCAAGACTATTTTCTTTCATTGGATCTGAGTGTATAAGGTGTCTTGACATATGTGCATCTGGAAACTGGGAACTGAAATCCACTGTTTCTTTCACTAGCAATTCTGGATTTCACTGGCTGATTCACCAGTCCCTAAGACACATAGGGCCAGAACCTGGAACTGATACCAGTATGAAGATGGAAATGCTTCAAGCAGTCAGCATGGTAAGTAAAGGTAATGGATTGACTGCTCAGCTTCTTCGTTAACTGAAAAATTAAGAAGTGTCTTTGCATAGTAGTAAAGTAACTCTAGAGTATAAAAAACTGCCTTGGTAATACAAACAGGCAGTTCTCAAATGAATTGTTTTCAGCACAGAGTGCTAAATGTCTCATAATAAACAAAAAAAAATGACACTGACTCCACTTTGCCGGCGAAATCTGTCCCACCTAGGGTTTCTTTTCATTATTTTAATCAGGTGAAATGTACTGGTGTGCAGCAAGATCAAAAGCATTCAAGTAAGTTTCTACAGTCTTAATTCATTTACCAAGAATCAAACAAGGCCTGAAATTTGAACCTGGAGTCCAGATTCACTCATGTTGAGAAATACTGCCAGGACTTCAGGTGCTTCTGGAGACAACTTTGACTGGCATGTGAAACATCAGCATTGAAACATCAGAATTGACACAGTCTTACTCTGTATCCATAACATTAAAAGACAACACTTTCTGTTAAGTTCCTAATTGCAACAAAAAAAAAAAAGTGTAAGAAGGAAAAGGAACCCCACAAAATACTTCTGGCCATGTAATAAAATCAGAAGAGTAGGTGACTTTGATTTTTAAGCTTCAGATTTGTTGCTTCTGAGGAGGCTTTCTGTTGGCCACTTGGTAGCTGGGGCTCTAAAGGTAACTGTCCCAGTTATGTGTTACATTGTGGAAAAACAAGCAGTTGCTTTTGCAATCCATGTGCAAATCCTGTCTGTGACTCATGCAATTTAATCAATTAGAAACAAAATATCTTGTGACTCCCTGGATGGGGTACCATATGTTGCAATAGAAAGAAGAGTGGTTTTAGAGTAGGCATTTAAGTGTTTTTGGAAAGGTGACATCACAGTTGAAGATGTGTTTTGCTTTAAATATTAGGACTTTGAAACAAAACCCAGTGATTCTTCCTCATAGATCGCTGAGCTGATAGTTTTGGGGATTCAAGGCATCCTGTTGTTACAGGCAGGCAGCCATTGTTCTCTGCAGTGTCACTACTTGGCTATGCTGTTTGTGTGTGTGTGTGCTTGTCCTGCTGATCCGTTTCGTTGTGCCTTTCAGGAGGATGGAATAATGGATGTACAAATGACTGCTATATTTTCATAATTTTGCAATACTTTTCTGTCCTGTAAAAAGATGGAACAAAGTGACTTGAAGAGCCTTGCACACGTTCACCCTCAGCATCCCTTGTCTCCAGCTGTCCCACCTTGATTGTTTTGGTTCACACTGGCATGCATAATTTGCAAAAAATTACTAGTTCAGTTTTCTGTCCTTTTTTTACTGCCCTTTTTCAGTTGTTTTTAACTCAGTAAGTGTGTCTCACTTATTTTGACACCTGAAGTATTAAAGATATCCCCAAATTACCAGCATTAAATAAGTACATCCTCCTTTTGGTTGGCTTGTTGCAAGGGCATTTCCTTACCAGATCTCAGGGTCACACGCAACAGTAGTGTTCTTCCTTTCGTGGGACAATAAATCGGATTGTTCAGAGTTCTGGCACAGTATTTCCAGGCATCCTTCTTCCACAAAAAGGAATTCTTAAATTGAATTTTGAAGTGTTCCATTGAGGTCATGCCTAGAGTGATTTCTTCATATGACAGTGTGTGTTTCTGAGTGTCTATGGCAGACAAGTGACTTTTCAGTGTTACCTAATTGTGCCTGATTTCAGTGAATGGATTATCTGGGACACTGCAATAGTTGGTACTGGAGGGCAGGTTAGATGAAGTGAAGCAGATGGGGTGGAAAGAGTGGGGAGAGTTGCCAAAGAGGCTAGAGGAAGGAAGGAGGGAAAAAAGAAAAGGAAAAAAAAAAAAAAGACTAGAAAGAGGAACACTTGAAGAGCTATTGAAAGATTCTTTTCTCAGGCTGTTGTCTTACTGATTTCTCTTCTGATTCTTCCCATTTCTACTTTTGGAGAGAAATGTTGGCTGGCTCTCAAAATACTTTGGGGTATTTTGATATCGGAATACTTCTGCCGATAAGTAAATGATGAGATCCTTGAAGCTTTCCTGCATCACTCCCTGTAGTATGGATATAATCATGCAATGATGAAGAATCATCTTTTATCCAATATTGATGAACTGTCAGTGAAAGAGTTCCAAGAGGTTTTGTTGTTTAGTAATAATGTATATGTAGCTATTGTTTAAATACGGATTTTTTCCATATTTCAAATAGGTAATGGGATCCACAACCAGGAAAGATATATTAGATGTCACTTGACTGGAAAGCCACTTCAGTCACTAGTTACTAACACCTATCTTAGGCTTACAAATGAATTTCTAGTAGCTTCATGATGTTGGGCAAGTAAGTAAGCTTGGTATCAATGCAGCTCTTCGGGTTTGTTTTTTTTTCTTAGTGCTATTGATGTCTTTTTAAAACGTTTTTTGTTTCAGTATTATTTTCCAAGACACTTTTTAGAAAATATTATAATGACTGCTTAAAAGTAGGCTTTGAAACCTTACTCAATGGACTTAGAGTAGCAATGTTACCTTGGTTGTTTGTTACACTAATGGAAGCAATGCATGCATATTGAGGGATGTTCACTGTATTCTTGTTGTTATTACAAGATATCACAGTGTAATAAAGATAGAAATTTCTGGGCACTGATATCAGTGACTTAATGTTGCTCAATGTCCGGCTTGTTGTAATTCTGCTGTTTTACATTTGCTTCATATCATCACTTTTCTGCTGCATCAGCTAAAATATTTTTCATATTTGTCATTGAAGAAGGTTATTGTGCTACGTGTCTTAAATTTAGGAGGATTTACAAGGCTGAGTAACAAGCTTTCAATTGAAACCAGGGCTAGGAATGTACAGAGCGTTTGTATGAAGCCAGCTCAAACGTATGGCTGCTTCATTGTTCAAGAGATTGGAAGTGTAAAAAGTTCAGGTTTTGGCTCTTACTGTTTTTATAAGTGCTTAGCCTTAAGTGTTCTCTTGTCTAATTCAACCTTATCACTATTACATACTTTTTCTTCACTCACTAGTTCCGCTGACATCCACTAAAAGAGTATTTAATTAAGATACTTTTTTGGAGGTTCATTATGGCTGAATGGATTCCCATCTTTCTATTTAGCGTTGTATTCAATTGATAACACTGGATTTGAATGAGGAACAAAACACAGTCAGGTGAAGGAGTAACTGATAATTTTAGTTGGTCGTTTAAGCAGAAAGATCATAGAGGGGGAAAAAATTTTGTGCCACTGCATGTTTAAAATGCTTGGTTTGTAATAGTGTTAAAGTTTTCATTATGGCCTTGATAATTTGGGAGAATACGTATTAACCTGTAACAGAAATAATTTGAACATAAATGTTTGGGGATTGTCCTTTTATTGGCAGCACTCAACTTGATTCGTTGGAGTTTTGGATTCATCAACAGAAGGAAAGTTTGCAATGAGAGAGATTTATCTCTTGCAGGAATTTGTACATTGAAACTTACCAAAGGGGAGAGCAAATATGATGATTTATCTCAGGAGCATGCAGGAGGGCTAAGCCAAACATGCATCTTTTCATATATGCTTGGACATGTTACAGTGTAAAGATTTGGAGTGGCTTTATAATGCCAAAACAGGGTGCCTGGGAAAAATGTTCTGTTTTCTCCCCACTATTTCTTATCCAAAAAGCCCTTTTTAGGCTGTTTGACAAAAGTGAATGTGTAACTTAATGCAGGAACAGCATCAAATAACACACAGGCTGTCATATGTTAGTTAAAAGGGGGGGGACGACGACGACAGTTGCCATAACAACTGACTCACCACTTGTATTTTCAAGAGAGAGAATACCTTAAAAAAAAAATGGAACAGGTCAGTCACTTGCAAGTTAGGAGTATTTTCAGTGGAAGAGCATGAAATGGTTTTTCCTGGATGCAAGAATGTTTGGGGTTTTTTTCCTTATTCAAGGAAGGTTTTGATATCAGAAGTAAGATTACGCTCTCAGATGATCATCTCCATTACAGGAAGCAGCAGCAAGTATGTTTAAAACCAAGCCCAAACCCTGAATACTTGACTTGTAATCATATTAGGGAATCCTCTGGAGAGCTGACCACACAGAATGTGTATTTCGCAGTGGAGCACCACCACTCTCGGGTGCCTTCCCTTTTTTGAGATTTACTCTTTTGGTTTGTTTTTTTTTAAACTTGAAGACTCACAACAATCTTTGATTCCGTGTTGAGGACCTGATTCTGCTCATATTTGAAGTCAGAAAGAGTTTTACATTTGACATCTGTCTTTGCATGATCAAGTCTGAACATGATTTCTAAATACCTGCATGATTTTAAATCTACTACTGAAATAATGATTGCTTTAGTAGACCTGAAAGAAAGAGGTTGAATGGTTCCTCAGCTGCCTCTGTAGCAGCTGGAATAAAATATTACTAATGCTCATCCCAGATCTCTGTTATATTGCCATGGTTTTAAGTGAACATCTAACAAAAATTGTCATCTGAAGCCCTGTTACAGGTACCTACAGAAATAACTGTTCATTTTCAGTATTTGTTGTATTTGCAGAGGAGTTACTATAATTTTGTAGTCTTACTATTAAGATTCACTAAAGTATGCTATATTAGGAAATCTTTGGTAGGGGGGATAAATCCTGTTCGTTCTAGAACGTGTGTAAAACTTATCAACCTGGCTCGCCTTTTAAACACTTTAGTACACAGACTTACAGAAATACATCTAAAAAGAAGTAATTATGAAAAGCATCTTCCAGTACTGTGTTGAAATAGCTACATTTGTTCCATTCCTCTCTGTAATCTCATTTCACAACAATGGGGCAACAAGGTGATGATTAGCATGTTTGCTGATTCTGCAATTAGAAGCCTTGGGCTAGTCCTAAGCACTCTGATTCCATTAGACTTGTGAGGAGTGCTGGAGATGGCTCACTAATTGTGATAAAAGGGGTCCCAGCGTGTGTCAAGCACATCCACGGTAACTCAGTTTAATGAGGCATCAATTTAGAGTTAGAATCTCA